GGAGGGATGTTCCCCTAACCCCTCGGCGTCCCCCGATTCTGCCGTCTGTGCTTTCCCTGTCCCCCGGGGGGGCCGGCACATACCTGCGGGTCCCCCACCTCTGCGCTGGCTGCGAGGGACCCGCTGTGCGTTTGCAGAGGATGGGGCTGCTGCTGGGGAGGTTTTGGGGGGCCTGCCCTCCTGCGTCTGCTGGCGCCCGGGTGTTTGAGCACTCACGGACTCTCTGGAAGCAAAGCTGTGGGGGCAGCCTCATCACCAAGAGGTCTCCACAGGTGGGTGGCGTGAATGACACAGGGACCAAGGTCATGTCCTTAAGGAATGCTCAGGTAAGCATGGGCAGATTGTCACTCTGCCTGCATTTCCCAAGAGGAAATAAAATATGGGAGTGCTGGTCAGCGTGGAAGAGCTCAGGTCCCTGACATTGAGGCAAGCTGAGCTGCAGCAGCAGCATTAGGCTCTGATGCCTCAGGTTTTGAACTTCCTGGGGGTCCCTGAGCAGCTCCAGCCAGCCCGGTATCTTGGTAGCCTGATCTAATGGAGCCAGAATATCAAGACATGGGCAGAGCAAGGAGTGTGGTGGACGAGGGGCTCAGGACACAAGGGTGGCAGGTTTCCCCTTACACAGACAGGAGCCAACCCCACGGGATAGGGATGCTATCCTTCAGGAATGTTAAAATGATGCAGTGGGACCTGGGATGCAGGGGCAGCTGCCAAGAGTTACTGTCTGCTGGATACTGCTGCCCTATCATGTTCTTCCTCTCCAAGGGGTGGGGTGGGGGGGTCTCTTAATTCCTCCCTCAGTTCATGAAGGATCAGGCTCATGGCAGGGCTTTGGTGTGTGATGGAAAGGGGTCTGCAGCAGATCATCCACTGCCTGTGACTTGTGTCCCTCTGTCCAGGGTCTGGCAGTCCAACATGAGGGCAGCCCCCAATTTGCTGCATTTGCACAGTATTTAACCAGGAGAGGAGGATCTAAAGAGACAAGGCAAAGCGTGACTCAGTTTCCCTTCACTGAGCAGCAAGCCACAGGCTGAGATTACAGGATCCCTATGCTGCTGTTATCCCAAGGCGTAAGAAGGACATGGTCACACTCCAAGAGAGGAGCAAATAGGAACAGCCCAGGGACACTCCTCCCACTCTGTTCCCACCAGGACCTGGTGCCAGCGCTTGGATGGGGAGGAGAGGGGACGAGCAAAGAAATCAGGCAGAGAAGAGAGCGCTGCAGGGGAAGCTCCGGTGCAACGGCACTGTTCAGAGCAGGGCCCAGTCCAGCCCAGAAGTCCTTGAGGAAAGGGCAGAAGTGCTGGCACTCGGCTCGGAGTCACGCCGTGATCGCATCCAGTCTCGCAACACTGGTGGCTGAAAGTCATCTGGGGTCCAGAGGATGTGCCCTTGAATTACCAAACTCAGCAGCAAGCCCAGAGCTGAACTGAATGCAAAACCGAATGCAGCTCAAACCTTTATGGTCTGTTTTTTTATTATTTCTATTTTTATTTTTTATTCCCAAATCAGAATTAACATTTCCAAACTTTGCTGAACTTCAGCAGGAACTAAAGAAGCCACGGAGGAATCCAGACTATGTCAGAGTAGGAAAATCCCTCCATTCAATTTCTGGTTAAAAAACAAATCCAGTTTATAGAAATCAATAGAGTTTGAGGAGGTTTTGGGGGAATTTTTGTTTTCTACTATTCCAAGGTCCTTATTATAACTGACTAACCCCATCATTTTTGAAGTCCCCTCCACAGAGAACTACAGAGCGAGCAGTTTAGAATTGATAAATATTTGGAAATTTTTGGTCCATGCAGTAAAACTGAGCTCATCCATGGTGGTGGGGACTTGCTCCTAACTCAGAAATCTCACGAGAGGTGATGCCTAGTAGGAATGAAAATAGGATATTTTGCCTTGTCCCAATCACACAGATGAGCTAGAATGAGCCAAGTTTCAGTATGAGGGGTAGGGTAGGCAGCTGGATCCTTTGCTTCTCAGAGTGTTTTTTTTTTTCTTTTTTTTTTTTTGTGAAAAGTGGCTGATGTCTGGAATTTGAGGCCATCATCATGACTTATGTCTGCAAAGACAAATGTCCCACTCGATGGACTTTATCCTTTGGCATTTCTTGGGTTTTGAGTCTTTCTGTGTGCAACTGTAACTCTGAAAAAGCCAGGGCTGAGGATGTGATACTCCTGATAGCGATTTCTACTATTTTTTATTATTAATTTTTTCAGGGCTGCAGGCATGTTCAGCTCCATGCATGTCATTCTGATGTTCTGCAACAATTCACCCTGGAGCAAAACTCTACTAGTAAGTGATTACTAACTGCTCTGGGATTGCAGTCCCACTTCTTGATGAGGGTGTTGGGGGAGGATTGCTCTTGGGCAGCTCTTAGATACCACCTAAAGTACTTAGAGCTCCTTCACATAGATGAAGAATCTGACGGACAGGACTAAACACAGGAGGCTGCTTCATACCTCAGGTCCTCAGCAACTGCAGGTAGATCTGGGTTGCTCAATGACTTCTACCTTCTGTGTAAGGCAGCTCCCTGCTGATGACAGTTTCAGACAAGCAAGCAGTACCTTATTTTCCACACTCTGTGTCTCCTGGAGTCTACTCTACCAGAGTCTGGGAGGTCAAGCACATGATAAAGCACCAAATTTATTTTATTTATTTTTTTAAAGGACTAGTGATCTGGAAAAAAAAAGCCATGTTTGACATGACATCTGAAGATCTGGTGTCTCAAAAACACAATTGTCTCAAAGTAGACTACCAAAAGCAGGGTGTTCAGGAGCCACAAATGGCCACTCTGAGACTTTCTGTCCTAGACTTGGTTATGAACACCCATAACTTAAATACTCCAAAATGTGACTGTTCATATTGCAGATAACGGTCTGGATTTGCTCTCTAGACAGTGGCTTGAGATCGGCATCAAGACAGTCATGGGAAATTGTTCACGAGAATTAGCAAGCTCTTCTTGTGCTGACTGTGGTGGGCACGTGCAGGGCCATCTGGACTAGACACTGGACATCTGAGCTGGGCAGCTGGAGCCCACTTTGCTGCCCAGTTTATTTCTCTCTGTCGCCTGTGTGTTGAGCTGCTCTGCTGATGTGTGATAGTAGGGAGTCTGAATCCCTCATCACTCAAACTAAGCCACTGAGAGGCATCATGCTGTCTCCATCAAACCTCTATCAGAGAGGAGGAGTGAAAGGGGCCCAAAACCCTTTGGGATAGCTCAGCCAAATCAAACTTCACAGCTTCACAAGGACACTGATGACCACTGCTGCAACATCAGGCACACTGAACACAGCCTGCAAGCTCCAAAAAGGGACAGTTTTACTGCTGTGGGAGCACCCTGTCCTTTTGAGCAGGTCTCATCCCTCTCAGCCCTGTGTTCTGCAGATCACCCTGGAGCAGAAGCACACGCTGGAGTTATTGCCCCATGCTGCAGGTTTTGCTCCATGGCGTGTTCATAGAGACTCAGCTTAGTGATTTAACAGCTTGTGCAGTCATTCGAGTTCCTCAGAAATGAACATTTCTGCTCCAAGACTATTAGGAAGAATTTGTCCTAGATTGCACTTGGGCACCACGTTAGCAAGAGCTCTTCTGCAGGTTTAGCTTATTCTGTGCACTTAAACAAAAAGCATTAACACCAAATTATCTTCAGAAGGTGGCATCATTTTTTGTAATTTGGCACTCCTGCTAAACCTACTAACACTAGCTTACCTTAATGCAAACTGCCACACCAGAGGCAGGGAGGAATCAAGAGAAAGGCAAGGCTTGCTGACCAGAAGCAAAACCAAACCCAGCTGTTTGGGGACCATCTCTGAGGAGCCCACGGCAGTCCCGGCCAGAGGCAGTCGTTGCTTTGCTCAACCAGGAGCAGGCACTGGGTCCTGGGGCTCTGTGAGGCCCAGCCGGGCGCAGCCTCAGCACCTGCTGCAGGCAGAACATCCCATGCACCCCAGCCCAGCTTTCCCAAAGAACAGCTTGAACACTGCTTCTTCCTTAGAAAAAAGGTTCCCTTTCAATAGAAAGCTTCATTTTCAATTTTTTAAAAAATGTCCTTTGGTCAGTGTTTGTCCCCTCTTCCGGAAGGCTCCCTGTTTTTTGTAGGTTCAGTCAGGCAAGGGGGAAGGAAGAAAAAAAAAGTGAATTTTGGAGTTTTCATAGCTTTTGACTTCCTGTTTCTTTCTCTCACTCTTTTAAGGCTGTCTACTTTTCCCACTGAAAGACTGGAGCATGAATCACATTGCAGCACAGAACTCCTAACGGACCGTTTCCTTCCTACCTTTCTCCCCGTCACGGCTATCCCTGTTTCCTGGCCGTCTCCAGGCTGCAAGGGGGCAGGGGCTGGACAAAGCCTGGCTGCATCCCGCCCCGCCGGCTGCGGGGGAGAGGGGCGCATCATTTAACACTGTGCCTGTTTTCCCAATAACGACAATCCAGGCAGCTGCGCCGGGATCCAGGGAGGACATTTTTTCCCCCTAGGATGAGCCCCTCATATTGGAGACCTTCATGCCTTGGACATGCTGGAGGCCACTCAGCCTTTATCAAGCAACCTGCAGCAACCTCAGCGGGGCCTCGAGCCCCATGCTGGACCCGTGACCATGGCCAAGGGGGACATGGCCCCAAGAGTCCACTCAGTGCCTCTCTCATACATCATATATTTGGTCCCTTGGCCTTTATTGAGAGTGAAAAAATAATTTAAAGTGATCATCTGTACAGGGCGGGGGACAGATGGCTGGTTAGCTGGTGGGAGAATCCGCAGCGGCCCTGGGGCTGGGTGAAGGAGGGTTAGAGGGGGGATCCAGCTGTGCGACGGTCCCGCTGTGGAGGAGTGGAGAGGCGGAAGCCTCTGGAGCCCTCCAAGGGCTGGGGCAGGGAGGTAGGAGGACACACAGGGCCCCAGCAGGGCTGGGAGCCACTCTGCTGGCCGGAGCCTCAGGTGACCTGCAGAGGGGTCTCCAGCATCTCCATGAGGAAGGTGTCGATGGGGGTGTCCCCGATGAGCTTGAAGAAGAAGAGATGCTCCAGGCACTTGAGGCCGATGGAGCGCAGCGCAGGCAGGCGCAGGAGCAGCTTGGCGAACCTGCAAGGCGAGGAGCGATGTCAGGGACAGCGACCATGGCAGGAGCAGAGCCCCCGTCCTGCACCCAAGCACCGAGGGACCCCTGGCTCCTTCACAGGGCTGAGCAGGGGGTGAAGAAAAAGGAAGTCTCTGCTTTCCTGCCCGCTGCTTTTAAAGCGGTGAAATAGCATGCCTTGGCCATATGCATAAGAAGACTTTTTTTTTTCTAATAAAAAAATAATAATAATAAAAAAATAAATAATAATTTCACATTTTTAAACTTGCAAGTAGAAAAAAAATGGAAAAGGACAGATGCCCCCAGCCTCTCTCCCTTGGCTGGGGCTAAGGACTTGCATCTCCCCCATGCTATTGCCATCACCTCCATGCTGGCACAGGCCCCACGAGGCGGCGCAACCCGCTGCCGACGGCGCTTCCCTCCCTCCGTGCGGCCCCGACGAGCCGGCCTTCCTCCCCGTGCTCCCTGCTGGGCCTTGCTGCAGCCTGGTGAGCCGGCCTTCCTCCCCGTGCTCCCTGCCGGGGCCTGGCTGTGGCCCAGCGCAGCAAGGAGGCTGGAGAGCAGCAGATGCTGCGGCTGCCTCCTCCCTGACGCATCCCGTGCACTGCGGGGCGGGATGCGGGCGCTGGCGTTTTGAGGGCTCGGCCAGCAGAGGGTAGGATTGGATCGGGAAGCGGGATCGCTGCATCCCGCGATTGCTCGGATGCTCTGGCACAGGGCAGGTGCCGTGATGGGAGCCACCAGCCTGGCACAGCTGTGTTGTTCCGGCAATTTGGGCTGGCCAAGTACCCTGGCTTTGCTCCGGGCTGCAGGAGCATGAGGTGGCTCCAGTAGAGCTGGTGGAGATCCCCCGGCTCTGCCCTCTCTTTTGGGGTGGGCAGTTAGCAATGAGCAAGCAGGGACCGACTGGCCCCCTCTCCTTCATCCAGTGCCCAAACTGGAAATTTTAAGGGATGCTAGTGGGAACCAACAGCTCAGCTGCCCCCTGAACTCTTTGCTTCCTGATCCTGGAAATGCTGGACAAGTTTTCTTGGATGTGGAAGGAAGCAGGACAAGTTCTAGGGGCAGTTATAGATTCATAGAAACCAGGAGGTCAGAAGAGCTGGAACCATGGCGGTCCCTGGGAGGAAGCATGCTCCGTGCTCACCCTCATCTTCCACCCGGATGCAGGGACACTCACCGTCCCGGCTGCTCGGGATACTTCTGCTTTGTGTAGGCTTCCAGCGTGGCATAGACCTTCTCCCGCAGCGACTCCACCTCTGAAGGGCTGGACAAGCCCTTGGCATCTGTTCGAGGGAGAAACCCCAGGCAGAAGGAGTCATGCAACAGGGAGGCTTTTTGCCTCTGAGAGGCCAAGCTTGACCCATCATCTCCCATGTATGGGCACCAGGCCGGTCCCTTCTCCATAGGGAAGGAACTGGGAGATGACCTGGAGAAGGGAGCAGCATGGAAGTGCCTTGGCTCCAAGGGCCTGTAGCCCTGCGACTCACCAGGGTTAAACAGCACAATGGCTCGCAAGCACCCCAGCTCCGACTTGTCCATCTGCATGTCCTTCATTTTGGACACCAGCTCTGTCAGAACCCTGTAGTAGAGGTGACACTGGTTCCACCCCATTTTCCCGTGCAGAGCACAAGCAGAGGTAGGTTTGAAGGTGGGCTGGCCAGGGACGATGGCAACAGGCCCCCCGTACCTGTCGAAGATGGAGCCCACGCCAGCACTGTGCGCACTGCTGCGGTGCACGTGCAAGCCCGTCGCCAGCAGGATGCCATCCTGCACCGACACGGAGCGATGGGAGAAGGAGGCGATCAGCAGCTCGTTCCAGCCTGTGGGAAGGAGAGGGAGGCACACAGGGCACGAGGGTCTCTGAGGAGGGATGTCAGCAAGGCCTCTCCCTGCCTGCCGTAGTGGGCAGGCAGAGGATATGGTCCCAAGGAAGGAGATGGATGCACTGGGAAATGGTGCGGAGGATGGTACCTGCCCGGAGGAGGATGACTTGGTCCTCCAGTGTCAGGTCGGAGAAATGGGGGATGCGCTTGGCCCATTCGACGAGCGTGAAGAGCTGCTTGTCAGCGGCGTGGCATATGTTGGTGACAGGGTCGTTGGTCTAAGGGATGAGCAACCCCAAAAGGGAAGAACGGGATAAAAAGGGGGAAGAATTGGCCAATGTAAATTCACCAATAACCACCCCCTGCACTGCACACTTTGATGTGTTAATGCTACTCAGACCCACAAGTAAAATGATCAAATCGCCTATGATAGAGAGAGATATTATTATGATTATTCCCTCAAAAAAAAACAGCCACATTTGAGACTTGCTAGCCTTTCCCATTGGCACAGCAGGGCAAGAGCATGGTGCCGCTTACCGAGCTCTCCGTGCCCACGTCACCATACGCCTCCGTCTTGGGCTCCACAGCCAGCTCGGCCTCCAGGATCCTCTCCACGGGCATGTCCTCGCTGCCGCCGCTCGTGGACTCCGCTTCGGCCTCACTCCGTTCCCGGCTCCGCTGCCTCTCCTCCTGCACAGCTGGAACACACAGGGATGGCAGCCTTGGCACCTGTACCACGGCCCCTTGTCCACAGCTTTCCCATGGCCATGGAGCAGCATCACCAGCCTCTGCTCTGGGAAATACTACTGGAGCAAGCAGTTCTGGGGGCAGCACAGCTCTTGCAGCCTGGTCTTCTACCAGGCTGGGTCATGAAGAACCTCCCTGCCTAGATTCTCTGATGTCTGATAAAGGTGGAGCCCTGGTCTACACCCCTATCTCAACAGCTTTGCATCAATCTTGTTTCCTTTACAAAACTAGACCAAAAGTGCCCAGAAATGGTCAGGGTAGGTTTCTGGAGTGCTCCAGCACTGGAGGGCTACTAAGGGCCAGATTAACACTATCAAAAAAAAAAAAAAAAAAGATCCCACCACATAGGGAACATGCCCCCCTGCCCACGTGTACCTTCCCTCTTCATTCCCATCGCGAGGCACTTCTGATAGCGGCAGTACTGGCAGCGGTTGCGCTGGCGCTTGTCTATGAGGCAGTCCTTGTTGTCGCGGCAGGTGTAGAGCAGGTCTTTGCGGATGGTCCGCTTGAAGAAGCCCTTGCAGCCCTCGCAGCTGTACACCCCATAGTGCTTCCCTGCAGAGCCAACGGAACCAGTGCGGAGGAGCTTGAGCCTACCCCAAAGGCAAAGGGCTGGCAGTGGGGAGTCCCCAGGGCAGGCCTGGCTTGGCGCTGGGGACCATTAGCAGGGATAGTGACCGGTGGCCATCAAAATCCAGGCCAGACCTCCACTTCCTGGCGATGCAGAGGGGCCACAATCGCCCTATGAGAGGGCTATGGAGCAGCCCCACAGCCGGGGGGCAGGAGCAGGAGAGCCCCAGGTAGCACATGGGGAGCGCTGCCACCAGGCACGACTGGGTCGCCAGCCCCTGGCATCTGACGGATGCCCAGACGTGGCCGCACGGACACAAAATGCAGGTTGTGAGAACACAACGGTTTGGGGACGGAAGGAAGTAAAAGATGCCAGATGAGGTCATGCACAGCAGAGGAGCATGTCTTTGGCACTGTTGTCTTTTGGGGTGAGCCAAGCCTGACTACAGGTCCTGCATCGCCAGGACGGCCTCGGTGAAGCCCCATGGCACCTCTCTGGCCATTCTCCAGGGCACCCGTGGAGGTTTTTGCAGCACAGAGCCTTCCCCAAGAAAGGAGACCTCCTACCTGAGGACCTGTCCCCGCAGATGGCACAGATGTGTTTGGCTAAGGATCCTGGGCTCGTGGATGGGTAATTCATGCTTCCAATCCCTGGGAGACCTGGCAAGGGTTTGATGTCTTCCGAGCTGCTGACATTGCTCAGGACGTTGAGCTGTGGAGGTACAACCCACGGGACATGAGGTAGGTGCAATGCCCGAGCCTGGCGCCCCATGAAACTACCCCCAACAGGCTGTGCAGATCGGGGGCCCCATGGGCCCGGGTGAGCCCTCCCCTCACCATGTGCCAGGATCATCCTCCCTCCGCTCATCCCTGGAGATCCCTTGGGGGTGGCAAGGTGAGTCTGGCTGGAAGGAGTCAAGCAGTAGCCCCATAGCAGGGATTCACTCTTGCTGTAACTGAAGACGAGGAGGAGGAGGAAGAGAAGGGGGAGATGCTCTGTCACAGGCTCCAGCTCAGGGGGCTGCCGAGACGCGGATCAGTGGCTGCTCAAAGCATCAGGCGCTAAACGCTTAGTAAGGAAGGGGGGTTGCAGACAGGGGATTTGCTGCAATTAAACCTATACTTCTGTGCAGCCGGAGGAGCTGAAATGATGTTAACCCACTTAACGCTATTATTTTTAGCCAAGAGGCCCTCCGTGTTGTGTGATGTGCAAGTCCTCACGAAAACACAACCACCTCACTTCCTAGGGCTGAGGATCCCAGCTGCTACTACAGACTGGAGAAGGGTGCAGATCTGGGGTTCCCTGACATTAAAGAGGGGATTGAATCAAGTGTCTATAACCAGCTGCAATCAAATGCAGGCGAAAGGCTCCAGCCGAGCTCCCAAGGAGCTGCTTGTGCTGCTCCAAGTTAAAGGTTACAAACTGACATCGATTAGAGACCTGAGCCTGATGTTGCCCAGGGCTCAGTTTTATTGCTATTTGCTTTTGAGCTGCCGTTGGCAGGATGGCGAGGACGGAGAGCCGGGGAGCGTATCTCGTCCGAAGCTGTCCGGCCAGGGCAGGGTGTTGGTGGTAGCTTCCCCCTCCCATTTATCTTTCTTCCTTCAAGCAAAAGGACAGAATAAAAATGAGGCTTTGGAAGGAAGTCCAGCTAGAGCCTTAGTTACAGCCTCCACAATATCTACAATGCTTGAGTTCATGCATGTTGTTCTCTATTTTGTTTCCCCAAGGAACTGCACAATTTTCACACACAGAAAGTATAAGAATTTCCATGGGAAATTTCAGCACAGAACAAGGGGCTTGGTCTCATTTGGGTTTTGGACCTTCAGTTAGAAAAAGCTAAATACAAAGTAACTCTGCATGTCTTTCCCTACCCCAGGCCCTTCATTTTCAAAGTGTCGAAGGTTTGATGACATTAGAAATACAAGTCATCCATTTGCAATTACCCCACTAAGAACCAGCTTGTTTTCCCCCACTGGAAAGTTCCTAAAAAATGGTTTGCTGGGAGGAACAGAGGTTCACTCCCTCCAGCAGGCAGCTGGACCAGGCTCTCAGGATAGCAGCAAATCAACATGCTCCAGAACCTGAATTTAGCCCAAGGAAGAGACCTCAAATCTCACCTCCTCCAACCATCCAACCACTTTCCTCACTCTAGAAATTTATTGCGAAGATGCTGAGCCAGAAGTATTTTTCTAAATTGCTACCAGGAGCTCAGGGATCACCTTTTCTTTCTTTCTAACTGCACTTCCAGACACCCACAGAGAGAGGGGTACGTGTGGGAGAATCAGAGCAGTTTAGCCATCGGTGCCTCCGGAGCTGGGCTCCTGCAGGTTAAGTGCAATCATGTATGATATTTGGGACACCTGCCTGAACCCAGATCCATTAGCTGCCTCCCGCCGAATCCCCGAGGCTCGGCTGTCTCCTTGCGTTAGAGCGAAGGCGAGTGAAACGCGCGCCTCGGAGCTGCTAACTCGGCAGCCAGCTCAGCACCCAGCTCGGGGAAAGCGCTTCCCCTGCGCCCCAGGAAAAGGTGTCTGTGCAGCCAGCACCCCCACGAGCTCCCCCCTGGGCATTGGGGGTGATCTCCCTGCTGGCCTAGCCAGAGCTGTGGGGGTCTCCAACATCCCCTGCCTTCGGAGTCTATTAATAAAATGCTGGAGCTTGTTAATAAAATACTCCATTCTCACTTAGCTCTGCACCCCCCAGAGCACCTTTGTGCACGATCAGGTCCACTAAAGGTCAGGGCATCGAAGAGGCAAAATCCCACACCATCCCCGCCATGTCGAGGTAGAGGCCCCAGCCCCAGGAATCTCCCTGCTCTGTCCAGAGAGAAAACCTCAACACCCGACGTAGCTCAGGCAGCACAGACAGGAGCACTTCATTCTCCTTCAGCTCATATCAGGAAAAGTTTGTATGCGACACGGAGTATGCGGCTGGCATTTAGCATTTACGTGTCTCTTGCTGTCTCTTTTCTGAGTAGCGAGAGGAAGCAGATATCCTTTTCCAGGAGGGAGGGGAGTGATTCTGCACCGCTTGGCTATGCTGGCTCCTTCCGTGCAGACAAATTGCACCTTAGTGCAATTAGTGCAGTGGAGGGAGACCCATTCCCACCACCCCACCACTCTACCCTCCCTCCCAAATGCTTGGATTTAACCCAATCCCCAAGGATATCTGCCTACCTGTGGGCTGGCGTGAGTCACGAAATTCATGCCGGGGGCTGAGGAGAGGGAGACGGAGTGGGAGCCCAGGGAGGAGGCGATGACGCGGTTCATGGGGGACGGCAGCGCCCGGGAAGCGCCCGCAGGCACCTCGAGGTAGTTGTGAGGACCGTCCGCCGAGTTGCCTGCGGGGACGCTCGACGAGGGGCTCGCGGTCGTGGCACCGGCGTGAACAGGGGAGTCTACGAGGAGAGGCAGAGACTGAGTCCTGGGGGACACATGGGGACAAAAAATACACGGATGGGCATGGGGAGGAGGGAGGCAGCTACAGTCCACATCATGGATGTGTTTCTCCCATGTCTTGTCACCGAGAGCCTAGACATTGTCTTGGACAAGACCAATCCCAAATCTGCAGGTGGTACTCAGGTACCAAATACCCTGTGTAGACTGGTGGGTATTTACCTAGCTGCTTTTTAAGGATTTATATATGACCTTTTCTCCCTCCCCTAGAATTTACCAACTCCACTTGGCATTATTTGTCATTAAAATTTCAGCAAGGTGTTGTTCCTATGTTGGCTTTGCAACACAGGAGACCATTCCCTCGAGTGTCAAGGCAAGATGCTGTGCAGGAATGTCACGCCGTTGCTTTTCCACTGCTGGTGCAGATGATGTTTGTTGTTCCCCTTGTGACTGAAAACAAGGCTGGGTTGGGTTTGGGAGTTTTTTCCCCCCTTTTAACATTATTGCAAAGTTCTTTACATGACAGTGTTTGTTATTTTACCTGAAGTAACAATCAAATCCGATTCAAAGGGAAGACGCACAATAAAGACGGGAAAAGGTCAGCTTGCTGAATAACATTAAAGACATTTGTCAGAGTCAAGGAGGACTCGATCCGCTGTTATCAACCCGTTTCAGACTTAATTTCGCGCAGAGTGGGCAGGAAAGGTCTTTGTCAAGTCTCACTTTGACTTTTGGGATCAATTCTCCCAGTGGGAAAGCAGGTGCCGTGACAAGAGCAGGAGCCTCAGAGACAGCCAGGCAGGCTCCAGTGCAGGGGAAACTGAGCCAGGACGCAGGGTCTCATCCTCCCCATGGAGAGGCCCACCCCACTTCTCCCTGCCACTGCATTGGGGTACCCAGACCTCTTGGTCCATGTCCAGCTTGGAAAATAAGTCGTGAAAGGGAAGTCTGGGCAAAGATCTGTAACATGACAGCAGGCATGGAGAAGAGATATGAGGAATGATTCTTCATCCTTTCCCAGGACATAGAACATCCCCCACGGGATGGGGAGCTGGATGGAGGCTGCTCCTCCATTGACCTTGCACCTTCATATTTTGAGGAAATTTAATTGCTGGAGGCAATTTAAACCAGAACGGTCAGTTCGCCCAGTAGAGTAAAACCAAGTCACAGCAAAACATCCTGGGCAACGTGGTCCGAACTTTTCCCTGACTTCCGGCCCCTGTCCAGGATTGTCTGGCTGAGCCAGTCTGCAAGGAGCATTTCTGTGGCGCTGCTGGCAGCCCTGCTCTACTGTGAGCTCCCCACGAGGGTGGCAAATCCCCCGGGACAGGGCAGGGGGCATGGGGAGAAGGGAGCCTGCTCCGCGTGCCAGCCACAGCCCCGCTGCCTCCACCGGGACTCGGCACGGGTGACATTTAAATAGGCCAAAGTAGGTCGGATCCATCTGTCAGGTAATGAAACGTGACAGCTCGATGCCAGAGACGCGGATGGCCGCAGTGAGGTCCCTGCTCAGCCCCTGGCCATCCAGGGCCAGGTAGGGCTCCTGGCTTCACCAAGGCTCACGCATCTCCTGAAGACGCCAGCTGAGATGCTGCAACAGATATTGGGCTTGCTACTGCGTTTAACCACCTAATGCAGCTTCAGAGTCACACATGCAAACAGGACCCAGTCCTCCTGCTCCATTAATGCTCCACCCCGCCACATGCATCAATTTTTCAGCAAATAGTTGCCCAAGCACCAGCATTAGCCACCAAAGCTGAGATGAGACACAACAAGCCTTTGATTCTCTGCTGCCATCTGGGTTTCTGTTTCCAAAATCATAGCTCTGGGAGCAGAAAAATCTCCCTGCTCTATCTAAGAGGGCTCGAGGCAATGAGAAACCTTCCCCTCTACCATGTCTGCTCAACAAGCACACAGGTTGGAGGTTTACAGCATGAGAAACCCTGCCGCTACAATTGCAGAAATGCATTTTATCTGATGTACAAAAGGCCCATGGATAAGCAGGAACAACAAGCACAAGGAAGCTTCCCTGGGCAGCAGGAGGACGTGCGCTGCTCCTCTCAGCATTCAACTGCAGGGCTCCACGCTGGCCCTCAAGGAGTGGTGGGGCTGGAGGCACTGGGGACTCTCATCCATCCTGACCCAGCATCAGGTGTGATGCTGAGACCAGGTGCGATTTTATTGCACCCAAGGACACGCAGACGAGACGCACCTGTAGTGTGGCCACATGCGCTTCCTTTCCCAGGAACCAGGCTATGGAGCAGGGAAGGAGGGAACAAAACCCTCAGAATTCAACATAGCGTTTGCTATGGAATTTAGCGGGGCCTCTGCCTTGCTGGGTATCCTGGCTATTTCACCCTCATCCAGCAGCCAATCCCCTAGGAATTCTGCCGGGTTTTCCCCTGCAGTTTTCCCGAGCCCCCAGGCGACCCAGCCTAACCCCTCTTTGCTCGGGAGAACTGACAAGGCCGTGGCCGGGGGTGGCGGGGCGGCAGGCCAAGTTACATGAGCGCTAATAAAAGAGACTTTGTGGAGAAGCCAAGCCAGCCTCTCGTCCCCAACCAACTGTGCTTGCAGATAGGAGGCAGCCAGCACAGCGGCTTCCCTCGCCTGGGAGCTGCGCTCCGGATGGAGCGCATCCCGCTGGTGACAAAACCACCTTTCACAGCCCCTTCCATGCTCTTATATTTGAGGCTGCAAGGGCAAATCCATCTGCTTGTGCTTTAGATGTGTACAGGCGACACTGCGCGGGACAGTCTGTCTCTCTGTGCGCTCAGCTGTGATGCTTTGCAGTCCCAGGGCCCTTTTCCTTAGCACAAACAATGTGCTTGTTCCTAGCTGTGTGTGTCCTCTCAGATAAGCATTTGGCCGTGTTATTCAGCGATTTAAGGCTGGAAATAACAGCTATACACACTATGAAAAATGCATGCATCACCCTCTAAATGTTATCTACAAGCAAGTCAGAAACATTTCAATTGATTGCATTCAAAAAACAAGCAAACCATCTTAACTTGTTGCTTACATGCTCTAATTAGTTATCAGAATTTCAGGCTGAAGGGAGTGCTCTGAAATCTCGACATGCCGCAAGTTAAGCAGCAGCCACATCACCTTCACGCTGCCTTCCTGCAGCACAGTGCAACACCGGAGCAATGGGGTGGCCGACCCGATCCACCTCCTCGCAGTGCCAACACGGGCAGGACAAGGAACATTTCCATAGCTATATTTTGTTTGTTTGTTTGTTTGGGTTTTTTTGTTTTGTTTTGTTTTGTTTTAAACCAAAGGTAAATGCAGGCTCAAATGCCAGTTAAATACACTGTTAGCTAAAAGATGGTTAAACCCCTGATATGTTGAATCATTTGGAGGAGCTAGAAACTAGTGTCTTTGTCTCTCTTACAAAAATAACTCTTCTGCTAACACTTTCCTCTCCTAGAAATCTCCCAAATGCCCTGATGAGTGTTGTGAGCCCTGTAGAGACTTGGGTGCGTGTCTGCTTCTTATGAAGAGCAGTTTGAACGTTACTTTTCTGTTGTCTCTTTGTAAAATTTTAGTACCCAACACAGTAAAAATAAAACATTCTGTATTTATCATTTCACACTTCTTGCAGAAATGGGTGGAAGTGCTGCAGAAACCACCCAAGAAAAGAGGTGTTTTGGAAAGTCAGGGGCTTGGAAAACTTGGGGATGCCCTGGTGCAACATCAGTGATTTTGCTGCACTTGAACTGCCAGAGGTCAGCATCTGGGACAGGAGGGAAAAAAATAGTGGGGCATAGTCCCTTCCAACCTTAAGCATTCTGTGATTCTGTGAATAACTTCCAATGAAAATAACATGAGCCCTATTTGAAAAGCAGCTGTTTCCTGCAGGATTTTCACAATTTCTAATAGAATAAATTAAACAAAAAAAAAAGAAAAGGAAAAACTCTTGTTTGGTTGAATTCTGCTCTCTCAATGAGCAGACCCGTCCCGCTGGCACCACACGCGCATCCCGCACCCAGCTGTACGGGAACGGCTTTGGCTTTGCTGAAGTCCATGCCCGAAGTGCGGCCCAGCAAACTTACAGCCACGCAGAAGATGCGTTGGCCAGGCTTTTAAATCCCTTTTTCCCCCCTCCACAGCCTTCCCACGGGATCTGCTTGCCTCTCCAACCCCGAAGGCGCAGACTGCGAGCGCGAGTAGGATACTCACTGCCGAAGCCCGCCGGGAACTTAATGAAGTGCGGATAATTCCCATACATGTTTAATCTTCAGTTCATCCCTTGCCTTTCCCGATGCAGTTGCCTCCTCTCACTTCAGGGCCGGGTGGCTCCGCGAGGGCAGCGGGGCTGCGAGGACGCCGGGGCAGCTGCTGGATGAGCGCCGGGCTCCCGTCTGGGTCAGAAATTGAGTGGGGAGGACGAGGACGGCTAAGTTGTCCAGGGGAGGAGCGTCGCGGGGAAGGAGGAGGCACGCGTGGCTTTCCACCAGTGAACGCGGCTTATTCACCATATGGGTGGGCAGCAACACAGCCCCCCGCATGCATGGGGCTCCTCCTGCAGGGAGAGGATGCTCAGGTGGCATCTTGATGCCACTGCCAGGGAGCAGGCAGAGAAGGATGAGGAAGGGACCAGGGACAGAGGAGCGGAGTTTGCTCAGTGCCAGATACTGTCAGGAAATAGTTCACAGCCATGGTAGGACAATCCCCTAAGCTGATCAGCCCATCCCATATATAGCTCCATAATATCGATGGCCTGGTGCCTAACCTTTGGGAGAGCATCTCCGCATGGCCAAAGAAAGGGTTAACCAGACGGTGTTGGGAGCAAGGGGCTTCCCCAGTGAAACCATCAGTGTCCAGCTTCCAAAAGCAGCGATGGCAGGAGGGGCTGGCTGCAGATGCCGTCGGTGCTGGCAG